CCGCGGCGGCGGCGGCAGCAGTAGCAGCAATATGGCTGTTGATGGGTGTTCGGGGTGGCGCTGGCGGCGGGAGGAGCTCCCCCGAGCCCCTGCGCCGGCTGCCCGTTGCTAGCTATGGCAAATGGTGGCGGCGGCGGCGGCGGCAGCAGCAGCAGCGGCGGCGGCGGCGGCGGCGGAGGCAGCAGTCTTAGAATGAGTAGCAATATCCACGCGAACCATCTCAGCCTAGACGCGTCCTCCTCTTCTTCCTCCTCCTCTTCTTCCTCCTCCTCCTCTTCCTCCTCGTCCTCGGTCCACGAGCCCAAGATGGATGCGCTCATCATCCCGGTGACCATGGAGGTGCCGTGCGACAGCCGGGGCCAACGCATGTGGTGGGCTTTCCTGGCCTCCTCCATGGTGACTTTCTTTGGGGGCCTCTTCATCATCTTGCTTTGGCGGACGCTCAAGTACCTGTGGACCGTTTGCTGCCACTGCGGGGGCAAGACGAAGGTAACGTGCGCCCCGGGCGCCCGCCCCCTGCGCCAGCCCCGCAGTTTCTCGGCGTCCCTTGCAGCCCACCTCCCCGCTCGGCGCGGCGCCGAGCCACCCTCCATCGCGGCTCGCCTTCCCCTCGCCGCGTTCCTTTCCCTCCGCTCCCCCTGCACCCTCGGGTTGGGGCAGAGGGCTGCGCGCCGGGGGTGAGGAGTTGCCCCCAACCGGAGTGCCCCGGGACGCGGACGCCGGGTCCTGTCTTCTTGTTTATTGTCGGGTGGCTTGCGGCTGCGGCTGGGGCCGGGGTGGGAGACGCGCGCCACGCGGGTGCGGTGGTGCGGGGTAGTGAGACAACCCCACGGGCACCGAGGAAGCGGGGGGCCGCCTGAGTGCGTGTTCCGCACCGCTCACCTGCGGTGGGTCCGCTCCTTGCGGTGGGCGAGGGGGAGCAGTCAGCCCGCACTTTTCTAGAAACCTGTTGGGGAGACGAGTTTGTTGGAGTCAGAGGCAAGGGAAATCTTTTGCGCAAGGGGGACAATCTTTTGGACTAGGGAATCCCTGGGGAGGAACGTGGTCGGAGGAAGTAGGGAGCTGGGGAGAGGCGAGAGAAAGTTGGGGACATGCATCCCAGTTTCTGTAGCAGCCCTCGGAGGCTATCACTTTAGGAATGTGGCGAGGTCGCGAATCTGATGTCACCTCCTTCTCCATCACTTTGGCTCGTGGGAGCTACTCCCCACCCAAAGTTCTTCAGCCAGCGTATTCTTGCCCCCAAACTATCCCCTTTCGGTCCCCGGAAATGCTACCAGCAGCGGGGAGCTGGAGCTTGAGGACCCGAGGTCCGTGTGAGAGCCCATGAGGCCACCGTTTCCCGCGGCGCCTTTTCCCCCGACGTTTCTGGGGTGGCTGGAGGTAGGCTTAAGCTATTCCTGGCACAGAGATGCCCACCAGGAATGAGACTCACTATACCTTATGTATGGTTGCTAGGCTGACTGCCCTGTCAGTCTTGTCCCTAGAGATGTCCTTTCCCAACCTCCCCCATCGAGGTGAGGGGTGGGAGGCAGTTTTTCATAGAAAACTGCAGAACTCCCATTCTAGGGGACTTTCCAGTGCCAGGAGTTTGGGAGGGAGGGGAGACCACGGGTAAGAACAGTGTCCAGCGTTCTTGCCTTTTCTCCTAAGTTAATCCCAGGACCCTTAAACTTCCACGGGGCACAGCAACTTGTAGCAGCCTCCCTGGTTGCTGAGGAAAGACAGGGAAGGAGGGGGCTGAGGGTAGGGCTGGCTATAAGAACACAGGGCGAAGCCAGGCTGTCTCTCCTGATCATTAATTATACATCGTATTGGGTGCTGGAGCCCAGCTGTGTTTTGTGGTAGCACATTTGTGTTTTGGAAAATACTGGTGTGTTGGAAATAAGGGAGAAAAATAAGAGCCATTATTCTCTTCCTCCTCCCTCTCCTCTGGGGGCCTCCAGTACCGTCCAGACTGCTTTCTATGGAGTTACCTTCTCCCTCATAGAGGTTTCTCCTTGCTTGTCAAGGCGGAAAGCCCTCTACATTGCACAGAAAGCCTCATATCTAGTGCAGGCAAAGCGGGAGGCCCAAGCGGTCTTTCTGACCTGAGCTTATACATAGTCTTGTGTGCAGTTCCACTTCTCCATCTCCCGGCCACCTTCAGACCTGCCTGTTCTCCCCTTGACTGAGGTTCAGTGACCATTCTGAGGGCGAAGGAAGTTCATCTTCCAGCTCTTCTAAAATCTTCTCTGAGTGATTTTAGTGCACTGTTACCTTTTCTTCAGGAACCAAACAGTTTCTATCACAATGAAAACTTTTTTTTTTTTCAGTGAAGTCAAACTAAGTTTTTGTGATCCTAAGACTTTAAACAGGACTTAGTACCTGTGATGGAATGTCAGTCAGTTATTTCTCATGAAGAATCTCTTTCCTCAGTGATGAACAAGTGAACAAGTATGACTTCTGTCATTTTTCTCAGGAAATAGGTTTTTGGCAATGACCATTAGAAAAAGCAACTCCTAGAGCTTTGGATGCATGTCAGAGTTTCAAGTCCTGCTGAGTTGACATAGCTGGTAGTTTCTACAAGGAGGCAGCCTGGGTACGAGGGATGATTGCAGTTGGTTGGCAAGATGTGAGCTAGTCTAGAAGGAGAACCCGTCACTTTTGCTACCACTAGAGTGCATTTTAAAACATGTTCCGAATCTCTTAATACCTGCCCCTCGATTTGTTCAATTCAACCAAATTGTGTGTAGCCAGCTCATTCTACCCATATATAGAAAGCTTTTTTCTACCCTGGAGGGGCCTGCATTTTTACTGCAGTCATGGCTTCTTAATCTCTTTGCTTTCCAAGTATTTGCTAGTTGTGGAGAGAAGTATAGAAGAATGGATTTGGCTTAAATTTGCAAGATTTATTGTAGTGCTAGATTTTCTGAGCAAATCCAGGCTGCTTTCTATGGAGTTCCCCTGGCCGTCAAATGTGTTCACCCTCACTCTCATTCAGTGCCTGGAGTCTGGCCAGGAGCTAGGGTCCAGTTTTTAGCACCTGAATTTCCACAGGGTCCTTTGGAGCCAGGAACCCCAGGAACCTGGCACTTTGTTTGAGCTTCCATCCTGGGACAGCTCATCATTAGTGCCTTGGGCCTTCACAGCTCAAGTGGTGAATGACCTTATTTTGAAAAGAATGGTATGTGGACTTTTTTCTTGTTGTTAGGAAATAAGAAAATGAATCACATTCACCCCTGTTGGAACCTTGGGCACAATCATTTCAGTTCTGTGTTGTTTGCTGTACTTTTTCGCATTATTGTTATTATTTTACTCTGTTGGGCTCCATCAGAGCTCTCTATTCACTTGGGCAGGACGTGTGAGGTTTCCTCAGATGCAGACTGGAGTGGACAGGCACCTGCTCTGGCAGTCTGAGTGAGACCGTGACCTTGAAGCAGTGTGTGACCTCTCTGGTCTGTCTTTCCTTATGTGTAAGGGGGAGAGGGGTGAATTCTGCAAGTTGTGACCTCCTTCCCGGCTCTGTGCTTCTGTGTAGTGGAGGAGGAGTTGAGGAACTATGGATGACATTTCTAGCTCAGAATGTGTTTTGCAGATCTCCAGCGATTTCTTTAGGAATTCAGCCCCAGACTGCTGATGTGTCTTTAGTTCCTTTGGGCACAGCTTCTGCTTCTTTTGCAATATCTGGGGAAACTGAGGCCAACTTCCTTCGGAGCTGTGGTTGCTGAGGGGCCCGCATGGGGCTGGCTGTGGACTCACTCTTGCTCTCAGTTTGTGTTTCTCCTCTAGATAGAAGTTTGGGCTTGACCCAGACTAGTCTGCATTTAATGAATTACTGAGGTATTGTCTCCATGGCTGTGTCTGAGAAAACAACACGTTTTCTCTGTGAGGCTCATGACTAATATAAATATCAGATCCCGTTACGGCTTGGTAATTACCCTGGGTCTGGCCTAACACATCCAATCAGGGCTGGAGCTTCAGTGCCTCGGAATTCTTGAGTCCAGATTGGCTCTGGTGCCTCAGAGTTCCGGAGGTGGACTGCATTGGGTGACCTTCAGATACTCCCTTTGGATCGGTTAGGGTGGCCTTGGAGATGTTCTTGGGTCCCAGTCACAGGAGAGCTCCACTCGACCTTCCTGTGTCCCCAGAGCTCCTGCTTGGCATTGCTGGCTCTGTGGATAGAAATGCGTGCTTAGAGCAACTGCTGCCAGGCAGCCCCAAGTACGAGCTGTGGATCTCACACTTATTAGCAGGGCATCCTTGACTGACAGCCATAGTGAGCCTTGCTTTCTTCAGCTATAAAGAGAGCATGGTGCTTCCTCTGTAGGAGTCTTCTAAGCATTTGGCAATCGTGGGTTTATAGCACCACAAAGGCCTGGCACTCCTGGACAACTTCACAAGTGTTGAATGTCTCTTTATTTCCTTGAACTTGGGCCTCAGAAGGGCACAGACCATGTGGAACAGTCACACCAGAGGAACCTCCGGATGCTGAGGTTACCTATCCTAGTCAAGTAGCCAGTTAGGCTCAGACTGAGATCTGGCTGTTGCAAGGCTGCGAGATTGGCCAGCCAGAGAGGCCTTGCTGAATGGGGGCTGGGCAGGGTGGCTGGTGTCTTGATGGGGAGTCACAGGACCATCCCAGGCATTGTGGGACTCCAGGGGCTGTGGACCCAGAAGATGCAGAGCTTTGGTGGGTGAGTGCGGCTGAATCACTGTTCTTCCCTTGGAAAGGGGAGAATTCCATTCCTGTTATCCACAGTCCAGAGCTCACAGATCCGGTTCCCCAAGAATATAATAGTTTGCTGGCCTGTGGCACTTAGTACCTAAAGCTGCTTTCCCTTGACAGCCCTTACAGTGGTGTTTCCCAAAGTGTGTTCTCTCGAATACTTGCCCTTGAAGTCACCTTGTTAAAAAAAAAAATCTTGGTCACATACCTGAGCTCCCCCTTGGACAATCACTTCCTGGCCTTGGGGAAGTTCTGCAGTAGAGGAATTGGTAAAACTGCTTTGAATGTTCTCACCTTGTGCAGCCTTCACTGGCTGTCCAGGTGACTGCATCCTTAATGTCAGCCTGTGACCTTGGTGGCAAAGATGTCACTGTGCTGTGCCTCAGTTTCTTTATCTGCAAATTGAGGCCTGCAGTAGCATGCAATCCAGTGGAGCGGCCACATCTCAGCCTATCATTGGATAACCTTTTGGTTGGAAACATGGGGTTTCCTTGCTTCCAGATGTGCCGGGACCCTGTGTAGACATGCTTCAGGAGCAAGGGAGGCAACCTGGCCATGGGCCTGGGGCAGAAGGAATCCAGGTCAAGGCCAAGTGGGACCCTCCTGACCCCATTACTGTCTTCTCTGGATGGGGACATTCACCAGGTGCCTGGTGGCAGGGAGTAAGTGCTGGCTTTGGGGCTCTCCCTGCCCTTGCCCTCCCTTACCAGGGCAGAAGAAGCCTGGTGTGAAGCAGTCGTGTTGGCACTGGACCCCACGGCCAGTCCTTCCCTCCCAAAGTGGG